CCCCCGTATCCTCACCCCTCGGGGTCCCTGGCGAGGGCCCTGCGGCCGTGTGTCTCGGTGACACTTCCTGCCGGGTCTTTATCTACATCACCATTTGCTCCAATTATAACTAATTGGACACGTACTGCATCTTCACGGCATCTAATTTTCTACTGATTTTAACAGGGCTGCTGGTGTTTTCGGCAGAGATTGTCCAAAACTAGTATCCGTTGTTGCTTAAAAATGCTGAGTGTACTTCCCTGTGTGGGACGACTTCGACGGCAGATGTTTAAAAACCTGCTTAATTGTTGGGTTCATAAAATGCAGCAGCGGAGGAGTGGCAGCCTTGCTCTCTGTAGCCCTGGAGTAGAGAGAGGCAGGAGGACCCAAAGTGGGTTCTCCGGAGAATCCATACCCTGGCTCCAACACCAGTCCTGCTGTCCCGGCCAATGGCAAATTCACCAGAAACACTTGGGCCGTCTCTCTGCCAGGCCTGGGCACCCAGGGGGACACAGAGGGTCCGGCCAGGAGCTGCCCCTCCCTTGGCGAGCCTGCCTTTTCCTCGGGGAACAAAGGACTCCCCACTCAATGAGGAAGGCCGAGTGGCAGCTGCTCCCAGAGAATGCCTGCGGACAGGGCTGGCCCTCTCCTACCAAGGCCCCTAGCATCCTGGGGCTGGGAGATCTGAGGCCCGAGAGCCAGGGGTGGTGGCTGTGGAGAGGGGCTACATGGGGCCCAGCAGGAAGATGGCCTGTGCCTGGGAGGCAGGAGGTAGGGGGAGGGTGAGCGCTGAGGCGGGGGGAACGTGGGGGCGTCTGGTGGGGTGAACTTCTGTGAAGCACGTGATCTTTGAGTCATTCGGCCCTTTAGGAGGTTTTGGGGCTTGTGGGAAGTGTGCTTCTTGGCCTTTTTCAGGAGGAAAAGAAAAAAAATACTTACAAGGAAGTTGAGAGCCTCAGGGCCTCCCTTGGCAGCCCTTGACGAATGCTGGTGAGACCCTAGGGTTCCGAGGGGAAGGGGCTAGAGGGTCTGCCAGTGAGTGGAAGCTGCCGCTGGAGGGAGTCAAGTAGCACAGGGGGTGCCCGGGTCCGCGGGGTCCCTGACGTCCTGGCGGAGGGATTGGGGCTGGCTCTGGCGCATCCCAAGAACATGAGCTGTGGGCTGTTCCTTCAACGTGAAAGCAAATGTGCCGATCACTCCCTTGGCGAAGAAGGACCGGGAGCTGTCCCAAACCAGGCCACAGGACGAGGGTACCAGAGGCGGGTGGCCACCGCCAGGGCAGCACAAAGAGGAGGGGACTCTGCTGTGAGCCCCAGCGTCCTCCTGACAGGCAGTGCAGGACGGGCTCGAGGCGCATGGGGTGTGTGGGAGGAGATGGTGGCCTTGTGTCCGGCTGCTGGGTGTCTGCTCACAGCTCACACCCAGGACCAGAGACAGCTGTGATGCCTCCCCGTGTGGGTCCTGCTGGCCGTGGAGGTCCTGCTGGCCGTGGTGCCTCCCCGTGGGGGTCCTGCTGCCGGTGTTCTGCGGACTTTCAGGTGAAATGACCAGTTTGTTTGCTCTGTTGACAGCAAACCTCCCAACTCCCGATGGGAAGAATCGCGGCTAGAACTTGAGCCCCTGGCCTGATCTGGCCTCTTCGGCTTTGCCTCCCAGATGGCCTTGAAGCAGAGGTCCGGCCAGGCCCAGTGTGGACCTCGATTTCCCCCGAAGCCATGAGGCCATCTGGGGACTGTGCTGGGACAGCCCCACAAGACGGGGGACTTTGATGTAAGGGTGAAGATCTGTTTGTTTGGGGGACATTTCCCCAAGTCTGAGCAGAAATCAAAGAGCATTCACAGGAGTCATGGGCAATGAACAGCAGGAGGAAGGCTGCACCCTTCAGGAAGGCAGTGCTGCCCAACCCACACCAGTGCCTGGTGGCTGTCCTGAGACAGGATTTGGGAGTGACCCGTCCAAGGGTGACAGCATCCGGGGTGCCCATCCTGGGCCCCACCATGGTGGCAGAGGGCTGAGGGCCAGATTCAACAGGAGTAGTCTACGCTTATCAAATCTGCTGCTGCATGAGAACTATTGATGGGAGATACGGGGATAAGTTAGTGCCGGCTTGAGGTCTTCCAGCTGTCCTCACTCCAGGGCCAGAGGGCTGGGCTCTGGAAGCCTTGGGTCTGCCCTGTGCCCTCGGTGCTCCCCAAGTAAGGAGGAGAGAGGTTTGCAGCCTGTGGGCTGGTGACCTGGAAGCCATTTCATTGTGGGACTCGAGGCTGAGGAGGCTGGGGCCCAGCCCCAACTTACTGGGGACTTTGTGGAGGGGACCCTGCAGTGTGGCACAGATCTTTCTGCAGGGCACCATGGCAAAGGCAGCCAGAGAAGGCAGCTATGGATGAATTAGAGCTGGCCTGGCGGAGGCTGGGGTGGGGGGTCATCCAGAGAGGCCTTGGAGGGTGGGCATGGTGCTGGGTGACCATCCTGGCTCCTGAGGAACTTGAACTTCCATCCCTGCAGCATCAGGAGGAGAGAGAGAGGCCAGAGGACAGGCAGCTGGCACAGACCCTGGTGTGCAGCCCCCACTCTGCCAACCTGGTGGCAGGGAGCAAGGGCCGTCAACTTGTGCTGCCCAGAACAGCCTGTCCTCCAGGGGAAGCTGACACACACAGGCGCCGCCTCCCCAGCCCTGCTGGAGACACTCACCCCTCACCTGTCACGGCTCCTCATAAACAGGGCCTGCAGGGAGACTCATTTTACAAAAGGGAACTTGCTCCCGAGTCACTGAGGGTGATGGGAGTGGGGGACGCAGGAGCCGGGGGGAGGGTCATGAGTGTGCATGCTGGACCTCTGTCCTCACACTCCATCCTCACAGTTCTCTTGGGCCTGGGAACGGCCCCTCTGTGAGAGGCGGGCAGGGCTGCCGGTCTGGGTCATGGGGCCCCTGGTCAGGCCAGGAAGGCCCCATCAGGCTGTCCTCCTGCCATCATGCAAAGTGGGCATTCCTGGAATCTTCCCATCCTGCCCACCCAGAGACACCACGTGGGGTCAGAGCCCATCCCGTCCCACCCAGGCTATGGTCAGCCAGAGCCCAAGGCTGACTGAGAGGGTTTGCCCTGCCTCTGCTCCAGCTACAGGCGTGGTCTAGATGGAATCTGCAGGGGAATAAGGGCCTCAAACCCGCAAGCCCCCGTGCCCACAGATGGGAGCCCCCTGGGGCGAGGCCTGATGGTCTGAGATATGTCCCACAGCTGAGGCTAGTGCCGGGGGCAGTGGGCGCTGGGGGAAACCAGGGCTGTGGAGGAATCAGGGACAGTAAGCGGCAGAGGGCAGTGCAATCCCAGAGCACAGAGGCCACCTGGCACCCCCGACCCTCCCCAGACCCCTGAGGGTCCCGATGGGGGATCCCAGGCTGAGCAGAGGGTGTTGAGTTGCGTGTGAGTGGGTGTGTGTGTGTGTCTGAGCACGCATGTGAATCGGGGTGTGTGGCCCTTCACCCCAGTCCCCACAGAGCTGGAGGGAAACTGTGGGTGGCAGCCCTCCAGGAGGCGGGTCAAGGGCCTGATGCCGGCCGCAAAGCCCCATCTCCGTCTGGATGTCCTCCTGGTGGAGCCGCCTTCTTCACCGATGCTGCCGTTCCTTGGATCTGGGAGCCAAATGCTTTGCTAGAGCTGGTAAATGGAACCAAATCGACTGTCCAATGGATTTGGTCCCCTTCAACCAGCTGTAGCTGTGCATTGAGGGCACCATGCGGCCCGGCGGCAGGTCCCACAGCCACGGAGAGGACCAGGCAGGCGGCGGGGAGAGCCCGGAGAGCCCGGCTCGGCTCGTGGTCAGCTCCAAGTAAGCAAAGCCCCGAGTGCTGCTTGCCCCAGGACACCTCAGGAGGAGCCTGAGACCCTTCCCCCAAAAGTGGGTTGCTGAGAAACGGGGTCACCCCACAGCTGGGGTGGCTTCCCCTGCCTGGCCATCCTTGCCAGGGCACTGGGAAACCAATGTTCATTGCTCACACTACAGCTTTGCTTCAAAATGTGGGCTCAGGAACTCTGCTCTGTGAGTTGGGTCCCCACCCTTTCCTCTTCCCAAGGAGCCTCGTCCGATTGTTCCTTTAAAATGGCCTGGATTCTAAGGACGCCCCCAGGGCCCCTCAGAGGTGAGCATGGATGCTGTGCTGGTGGCCTTAGGGGCCTGCGGGTCTTTGCGTCCTCTCTCCAGATGGCCTGAGGGGTGCTGGGCCTGACAGAGAGACCACCAAACAGGAGCCCTCAGTGTGGCCTGTGGCTGGGGAGGTGCCCGTAAAGGTTGCTGGGGTCTCAGGGCTCCCCACCTCCCCACCCTCTTGAGGAAGGCAGTGCCCTCCACCTGCAGGGAAGCCAGGCCACCAACGGGCACAGCTGCAGTGAGCAGGGATCTGCAAGGAGGCTGCAGGCCAGGTGGAACCTCGGACTGGCTGGGGGGATCCTGACCACGTGCCCCTCCCTGGGCAGGGTCTGTCATGAAGGGGATCTGCAGCTGGGCGCTGGCAGATCTGAGGCCTGGGAAGTCAGGGGGTCCTGCTGGGCATCTCTAGGCCTGGGGTTCCAGGGCCTGCCAGGAGTGACCCGCTGACTTCTGCCCAGAGTGGCAGGGGTGGGGCCTCCCCTCAGAGGCCACCAGCTGCTGGCCCCAGGGCAGGTGAGGCTGAGGGTCAGGACCCTGGAGGGAAGAGCAGAGGGAAGGGGTGTGGCGGGCAGATGGGCAGGCACCACAGGGACCAGTAGAAGGCCGGGTCCGAGGACGGTGGCTCCCCTGGTCTGGCTCAGGGAGTCAGGGCACCCTCCTCACACCCCACCCAGCCTCAGTGACTAATTTCCAGGGTTGGCTTAACCCTGCCCCGGCACGGTGTTACCATCCCTCTTCACACAGAGTCACTATGTCCCCAGACTGTGGGAGAGGCACGGAGGCTGGTGTAGTGGATGGCAGCCGGGTCTTCAGCACGGGGGCAGGGCTGGGTTTTGAGGACCTGAGCTGTGGGACCCAGGGGCTTGGCTCCTGAAGGGCTGTGTGGGCCTTGGACTTTATTCAAGCCTCTCTGAGTGGAGGGCTGAGTGGTCAGCCCCTGCAGGGGTCTTGGCCAGGCGTGGGCTCCCGGGAGCCTCTGGGGCCTTCCGCTGCAGAGCCCTTTACAGAGGGCAGTCGAGTGTCCCAGGAATGGCCATGCCTGGGTCCATAACTTCCCCAACGCACCAACCCCAAGCTGTGTGGTGCTGGGCACTGGCCTCCACTGCGGTCTGCCAGGGACGTCTGTCCATCAGGTGAGATCTTGGAGATCCACCCAGCTGAGGACCTGGTCAGCTGCCCCCAACCTTCCCTCCCATCTGAAGGGCGGGGTGCAACAGCTTGAGGTCCTGTGTCAAATGCATCACCCGAGTGAGGACTCGGAGCCACACCCGGTGCCTGTAGGAGGGTTCTGTGCAAACATCATGCCCAGAACAGTGCCTGCTGTTGACCCAGCGCCCACCAGGGAAGGCTGGAGCCATCGGAGGTCCCTTCCAGTGCAGGCTGGGGTTCCTGTCTGTCACCACACCAGCCGTGAACAGGGACACCTGCTCATGTTGCCCGCCTGGCCCTTCCTCGCCACCCACCCACCTGCCAGCTCGACCGTCTGGCACTGACACCTGCTGAGGGCAGTGGCGCAGCTGCAGAAAAGTCTACAGCTGCGAGGGAGCTGCCCGGCAGGCAGGGCCTTGCGGCAACCGAGGAGGGCAGCAGGAAAGGAGGGTCATGAGGGCTCGGACCCAGCCAGCTGAGCCCAGGGCCCCCTGCTCCTGCCCGCCCCCACCCGTCTCTCCTATACATTAAAGAATGAGATGAGGCTGAGACCATCTCCCTGCTCCACCGTGGCCTCGGCGTCAGCTCCAGGATGACTGTAGGACGTTGTGGTTCTTTGCTGGCCCACCCACCCCGGGCATCTTTATAGAGGCCCCAGTGAAAACCACTGCACCTGCCTTGCCAAACTCACAGTGAGGCTCGTCCATGAAATCACGGGGCAGCCCCACACAAGGCCACGCACTGTGTGGACAGGCAGGGGATGTGGGTGGAGACGAGGGAACATCTGGAAGCAGCCCCCACACCTGCCTGGCTGGGCATGAGGAGGCACCGGCTCTGCCCCTAAGCAGCCCTGGGCAATGCGTGACCTCGGCCAGGTGGTCCCCGCAAAACTATTGGCAGATGCTGGAATCTGAATACTGTGTCATTTTCATGAGTCACAAAAAGGGTCTTTTGATTTTTTCCCCCATCATTAAAAAGGTGACTGCTGTCAGGAGCTCTTGGAGGCAGTCTGAAAGCAGGTGGCAGGGGCTTTGGCCCTGGCTGAAGCTGCCACCTGCAGGCTAGATTAAGAGGATAAATGAGCCACAGGCGAGGTGTGCACCGGGCCAGGGACACGGGGGCATCAAGGGCGGCCACTGCTCTTCCCAGCTGCTTGCCACTCATTTGGTCAGTGTGCAGGCGGAGGCTCAGGCGCGGCCCCAGAGTTCATAGCCATGCAGCCGGCAGGAAAAGCCCAGCTCGCCCAGCAGGAGAGAAAAGCCAGGAGGAGGCGGCCGGGGCAGGACAGAGCCTGGAGCCTCCAGGTGTGGGTGGGGCCGTCTCGTGTCTCATCCCCCGCCCCCCGCAGCCTCGTGGCTTTGGGCTGAACTGGCCCCCACCAGGTGCCCATCTCTGGAGCAGGTGCCCCCTGGGAACAGGGCCTGGCCAAGCCAAGGCTACTCCCCAGGGTCAAGGAAGTGGGGTCAGGAACAGGGACACAGCCCACCCTGGGGGACCACAGTTTGGATCCCAGGATCCCAGCAACTGGGGGTTGGGGTGCACAGGACCCAGCTCTGCCAGGCTGGGCATGCCACTGAGTGCTGGGCATCAGAGAGGGCAAGGAGCTCACCACAGTCACACAGCTGGCCCTGGCCAAGCTCAGAGCAGGATGGGAATGCAGGGCTGTGTGTCCCGGCTGAGTCTGGAGGGCTGCTGCCTTCAGCACCTGCTCCTGCTCTCCGTGCTTTGCTGTGTGTTTAGCTGCGTGGGGGCCCCTGGAACATCCTGCCTTAGGGTGCTCAAGCGGGGAGGAGGCAGAGGAAGGGGACCGTGCTGGGTAAGGGGCTTTATGTTTCCTGGGGCTCTGCCATCTGTCTTCTCATCTCCCTGAGAGGGGTGAGAATGCAGACCTGAGTGGGCAGTGGACATTGCCCAGCTCAGTGACCAACGAGAGGGTCTGAGTGTCCAGTGCCGAGGGAAAGCCTCTCCCTGCCGGATGCAAAGGTGATGGTCCCTGACAGTGGAGCTGGTCCATCGAAACCTCGGCGGGGAGCTACAGGTCTTGGGTCCCGAATCACTATTAGAATAGTTTGAGAGCTCACTAGACATGCAGATTCCAGGCCCCGTACTCCACCCCCACCCGTCAGAGCCTCCAGGGCAAGGGCCTGGGAACCTGAATTTTTACCGAGTATGTTTGGTGAGTCTTATGAACAAGCCACATCAACCTGGTGCCCCTGATGCCTGCCAGCCCCACACCTGGCCTATGTGCACCTTGCTCGTGTCCCCTCCCTCTGCCCCTGCCCCTCAGCAGGCTGTCTCCTCCGAAAAGCCTCCAGGCCCCTCGGCAGCAGGTCTCTGCCCGTAGACTCTCGAAGTCACATACTGGGGACCCTGCTGGCCGCACTGGCTCCCTGCGGAATGTCCCCTCTCCCCGCAGCCTTGGGTGGAGGGTGGGAGGTATGCACAGTTGTCCAAATGTCAACAGAGGAAGTAACGTAGTCTCCCTGCCTGTGCGTCTCCTTGTTCCAGGAGAGGTGTGTTGACCACAAATAAGCAGAAAGACAGTTAAATTCCGCCACCCCAGCCAGCCCCTGGTGAGGAGCCGGCACTTTCTTCCCGTCTTTTTTACCGTATCTTTTTTCCATATGTAGCTCAGTTCACCCCTCCCACCCCCACAGCACACACTAAGGCAGTGGCCAAAGGGCTGATAAACCTGGGGCCCCTCCTGTATCCTCAGTGGCTTTGTCCACCTTCCTGCCCGAGGTTCTGGGGTCAGTGAGGTGTCAACATGCCGTCTGTGACCAGTGCCAGTGACCTCGCTGCCGTCCACAAACTCTCCTGAGCCAAGGCCCTGGGGACACATTCTCCACACTCTGCTGGCTCTGACAGGCCTGAGGTCCTGTGTGCTTCGCCAAAAACAATCCTGACTTCCTCCTGAGCCTGGGATGGAGGCGAAGGCCTGAGCTGTCTCCTGTGGTCACCCACCGCCCCCATTGTGCCCACCACACCTGCCACACTCACCATGTCCTCCACCCTGCCTCGGCTCCTGTCCCTTTGCAGGACCTGCTTCCCTCTGCCCCGACCATGTCCTGCTCCAGCGCCCTGTCCCTCCTCAGGTTCTGCTGACCGGGCAGCCTCTGGTCTGTAGCATGGCACACAGGTCACTGCGCACTGGGCCCGTGGGGTCACATGTCTTGTCGTCCCTCCCAGCCCCTTGTTCCCGTGTGCCTGGCCTGGGACTTCCTCCAGTGTATTTGTGGAGGAAGCTAGAGAATGGGTGCAGTGTGCGGACAAGCCCCCAAGGGCCTGCACAAGAAGTGGGGTCCTAGGCAGAATGGCTAATGGGCCTCCCAAGTTTCAGGAGCAACCTGTGATCTGGATGCTTTGGAAACTCTTGAGACAAGGAACAATGACCTGTGTGAGACGGAGGATTCCAGATCCCCACTCTGCTTCGTCCAGTGGGAGATCCCCGGCCCACAGCCTGGGTTGTGTGTTCAGTCCTGGCTCTTGAGCCCTTATAAAAGAGACCCTGCTCCACCCCCGCCCCTCCATCTCCTTCTTCCTCTCTTCCATGTCCACGTTGCCCCAGCGTGCTGGGGGTGGGGGCCGGTGCTCTAGGACAGGAATTCTGGTCCTGGCTCCCACCCTGGGTGTTTCTCTCCTGCAAGTCAGCCCTGAAATGTCCATTAAACAAAAAGAAAAGGAAAATGCTTATTTGAAAGAATTCTTCTCTTTGGCAATGCTGAGACATTCTCCTAGTCTCAGCCCCACAGAGCTCCAGTGTGTGACAGACAACAGCTGATGGGGAAGTTCCGCGTGTCCGTCCTAACCAGGGCTAGAGGCGATGACTGTCTGTGGCGGCTGGGAAAGCCTCCTCCTTGTGGCTGCAGCCACTGCTGAAGGGGCTCCACCTGGCACTTGTGCCACCAAAGGCCCCTGAACGGGCGTCTAGGCCCACCCTTAATATCCAGGCCCACCCTTAATAAAGAAAGATGTGCTGCTCATCCTCAGTTCCAAACCTTGTTTGTCCCTCCTCCCCGACCCCCGTATGTTCTGGGGGAGATCCCTCCACTGTCAGACAAAGACTTCAGAACCACAGCAGTCATCGCATCGAGCGCCAGCGGTGTCTGTGTGTGCTTTTCCTTCTGTCAGTGCCCTCTGGCTCAGTCCAGTGCCCAGCGCTTACAACTGGGAAAAACACACACACACAACACACACCCCTACATGGGCACCATGTGCACACAGGCTCACATGCACACACACCCACACATGTGCAAACATGCACACAGAGGCACACATGCATTCTCACACAAGTGCACAACACAATGCCACACGGGCACACCCGCATACATGCTTACACATGCACTTACCTCCCCCATTCCCACACACACACACACAGGCACACCCTTCCACACACATGCATGCACCACTTCTCACAGATGCACAAGGCAATGAGGCACTCATGTATGTATACATGAGCACACACACAGGCACGCGCTGTGCACACACACATGCACGCACACACAGGCCCACACCCACACATGTGCACACACTCATGTGCACACATGTTCCCAGCCCCCCACCACACAATCACACAGACAACTAACGCCCTGCAGCAGGTGAGACCACCGTTTGGTAGAATTAGGGGCCAACAGAGGGTTCCGTCAGCAGATGCAGGCAGTTTTGGGGAAGGGGTTGGGTGACAGCTGAGGTAGAGCGGGGAGGCTGGAGTGAGGGAGGGGGTTGGGTCCTGAGGTGGGGAGGCGGGGCCTGTGGGAAGTTTGGAGTCTCCCTAAAGTGAAGAAAAACCCTCCTGGGGAGGCAGGGAGTGTCTCCTTTGTTCTTTGGGGTCATCTTGATTGTCATTTGCTTACAACAATGTGCAGGCCGGGTGCACTCAGGACACTGGCAGGACAGTGTTGAGTGACGTCCGTGCTACTGATGCCCCCCGGGGGTCTGCGCCCAGCCGCACTGTGCTGGTAGCTGGAGGTGTGGGGACAGGTCAGACCCAGACCTGCCCCATTTGTTCCACAAACCAGCAGCACTGCAAGCCAGACGTGGCTCCAAGTTTCACCTGAAGTCCATCCCTTCCCTGAGCAGCCAGAGGAGCAGCCAGGAGTAAGGCAGGTCCTTACTCCACTCTGCAGATGGGGAGGACTGAGGCACAGGGTGGTCACACGCTAGTCACCCCACCAGTGAGGAGAGGAGGCCGTATCCCACCCAGGGTGTAGAAATGCTGAGCCTGCAGGTAACTCCTGCCCCAAAGGTCCCTGTGCCAAGCGCCTGGGCCCTGGGGCAGCAGCCACATTCTGGATGATTTTATAAAAACACTTTGTGCCCCTCAAAGTGGGCGCCTGGTTTCATCAGTTATGCTGTGGAACAGCTCCATACCCACTGTGGAGGCCAAAACCTGGACCTGTGCCATCTCCTCCAGACACTTCATGGCCTCGTCCCCACCCTAAAGGAACCCGTGCCCTTTCCTTTGTAGGAGTCACTTCCCTGCGTTACCCCCTTAAATTCTATGGTGTAGCTTTGCCTAACTTTTTTTATTTTTGAGGCAGAGTCTTGGTCCATCACCCAGGCCGGAGTGCAGTGGCACAGTCCCAGCTCACTGCAACCTCCGCCTCCTGGGTTCAAGCGATTCTTATGCTTCGGCCTCCTGAGTAGCTGAGGTTACAGGTGCACGCCACCACACCTGGCTAATTTTTGTATTTTTAGGAGAGATGGGGTTTCACCATGTTGGCCAGGCTGGTCTCAAACTCCCGACCTCAGGTGATCCACCCACCTTGGCTTCCTAAAGTGCTGGAATTACAAGTGTGAGCCACGTGTGCCTGGCCAGCTTTGCCTAACTTTTTATAATAACTTGATTTTAAAAGTGTTTCAAGTCTGTTTCAGTCTGTAAGTCTCCTGTTGTGCCCCCCCCCTTTTTTTTTTTTAATAACATGTCTGTTGAAGGACCGGGTGGTCTGGCCTAGGATGTTTCCCACATCGGATTGCTGCTGGTGCCCTCTTGGTGCGGTTCTGTCTGTTCCTCTGTCCTCTGAGCTTCCTGCGTGTTGGTGGCTGGACCCAGAGACTCAGGCTGCATCCTCGAAGCAGGACCCCAGGTTCTGTTGTGTCCTCCCATCAGGAGGACACAGGTCAGGGCTGTGCACTCCTAGGGTGGTGGCCAGGCTTGCTCTATGCCTGAAGCCATTAATTGGTTGACATTGTGCAATGGTGGTGTCCTGAGTCTGGAAGTTCTTTTTCACTTACTCATTGGGATACTTTCCTGGCAACTCTTCTCCACAGTCTCATCCCCGGTGCCACCGTCCAGAGGAAGCAGGATGAAGACAGGAATCTTCTCCCGCAGCCGCTGCTTTTCAGGAAGATGCACTGGGTCCCCGAAGTCCTCCTAAGTACCACTGTACCACTGTGCATGCAGGCCCCTTTCCAGCGGAAACTGTGGACAGCATGGAAGGGAAGTGGAGGTTCCTGCTGCACCAGAAGCCTTGTGGAGCAGTGGAGCATTTTTGCAGAACTGAAGAGCAGGTGCCCGAGGAAGGAGTTTGACCAGAAAGATGCTTTGAAAGCCACTGGAGAAGCTGAGTTATGAGACAGCTTTGCAATACTGTGAGGAATACAGATCCCAGAACTGGGAACCCAGTCGCTGCCATGCCAGGAAAGCAGCACCTTGTACGCACCTGGGATTCCAGACTGGTCTAGCCATCGGGGGTCCCCGGTGTGGCCTGGCCATCGGGAGCAGAGGGGTCCCCGGTGTGGCCTGCAGCTTCTTCACCTTCACTGCGCCTTCCGGGCACCTCTGTGCACTTCATCAAGGCTTCAGTGAGCACGCAGACAGCGGAAGCAGATGCCGTGCTGTGGCGGGGGCCTGAACATGAAGCCAGCTGAGGAGCAGGCCTCTAGGCATGGCTACGGCCACAACGACAGGAAGCAGGTTGCCTTTGGGCGCTCTTCGACGCGGGAGCTCCTGTTCCGTTTGGCATCGTCTGTGGGGAGGGTCTGAATCCCGAGATCTACACTGCTGGAAAACCCTTCAAACCTCCTCCTGCAGGCTGGAGCTCTCTTCTCCACCAGGTGGAATGAAGGAAAAGCCCATTCGTTTTGTAGAAGGCAGGGGTGATGGCAGCCAGGAAGATGAGACCAGCAAGCTTTCTAGCAGAATGAACTCAGGTCTACACGATTATTTTTGTAATCTGGGTCAGTTAGTAAACAGTGACTGCTTTTAATTTAAAAGAAATACATGTCATTATGCATTGATGACCTGAAATGTTTGGTGGGTTTCAGTCCGCTGTGGTTATTATCGTCTCTGCAGCTGGACTGTCCTGTCTCCGGCCAGGGACAGCGGGTCAGGTTGGTGCTGCGTCCTACATGCTCTCTTGGGGTCAGCGGGGTTGTCATGTAATTTACACACAGGAAAATGCACACATTTTAAGTATGAAGTTTGTAGAGTTTTAACAAATGTTGAGTTTTACGCTCATGTGACCACCATCACAACCAAGATCAGGAACATTCCATCTGTTCAAACCTTCCCTCCTGCGCCTTGGCAGTCATCCTCTCCCGTGGCCAAGCAACCGTGGACTGGCCAGCCTGGGTCAGCACTGCCACAGCTGGGACTTAGGAAATGCTCCTGCAGCATGTGGGCTGTGTGCCTGGTGTCTTCCTCCCAGCATCGTTTTCTTCACACACATCTGCGCTGCTGTGTGTATCTGTGGGTTCTGTTCCTTTGCACTTCTGAGAAGGGCCCCATTCTGCGACAACACCATCGGCCTGCTGATGGGCATTTGAGGCTCTCAGCCTCCACCAGGGTGCAGTGGGAAGAAGCCCAGTTGCAGGGGCCACATGGGGCTGGCAACAGTCACTCCTGCTACACAAATTGGTGCTGGGTTGGCTGGGGATGGAAACTCAACTCAGAAGATGAATCCATTTGCTCATGTGGCCAAAAGGGGGTCAGGGGGCTGGGGGGCCAGGGCTATGCCTCCTGTGACCCAGGCCAGGTGCCTGACTATCTGGGACACTTTCCAAGAAGGGTGGGTAGGGGCATGGGGAGGGGCCCTCCAGGGGCCTCTGAGTGAGGCTTCTTGAGTAAGCTTCTTAGGAGATGGCCAGGGACACCAAGGGAGACAGAGGGAGCTCTAACTCAAAATCTGAGAGAAAAGGCAAATGTCATTTCATAAGAATGTTGTGTCACTGACAAATCACAAGGCCTTTCCCGCCATGGGAACCCTCTCCTCGGGTCTTCCCGCCAGAAATGAACTTGGTGGGTCGGGGTGGGGAGACCCAGTCCCACCGGAATTTCTGGATGGAGAGTTCCTGTGTCATTGACACCAGTAAGTGGACACAGCAGTGGGTGAATCGTCTGCATCTTCTGGACGTGAGGTTGCACGGGGCGCTCTATGGGAATGCATGCCCATCTCTCATTGCTTCTTTTGCAAAGTGCCCCTGTCACTCATAGGACGTCACATCCACGCCCAGAGGCTCTTTCAGAATGAGCCGAGTTGCAGCTTCAGGTTTGGCGTCTACTCTCTCTTGCACACACACTCGCTCGCGCACGCGGGGACAGCCTCACCGACCCGGGCCGGTGCTTTCCGGATGTGTGGGGCCTTTCCAGAGAGCAAAGCTGCCACTTGAGGACAGAGAGCACAGCAATAGCAGCAAAGCCAGCAGCCCCTCGGAGACTCTTCCTCATTCTGGAACTGAGAGCAGGAGGAGATGCCCCCTTGGAAGTGCCTTATTTTCTTTTTTTTTTTTTTCCAAATGAGGATTTTTCTTTTCTTTTCTTTTTTTTTTTTTTGGGGGGAGGAAGGGAGGGAAGGAGGAAGGGAGGAAGGCAGGAAGAGAGGGAAGGAGGAAGGGAGGGAGGAAGGAGGGATGAAGGAAGGAAGAAAGGGAGAAGGGGGGAGGGAGGGAGGAAGGGAGGGGGGGAAGGGGAAGGAAGGAAATCAAGCAATGAGAGAGACATTGCCGACCTGGATCTAGAGGTTTACAAGTTGATTTCTTTTTTTTTTTTTTTTTTTTTTGAGAGAAGGAAAGAAAAAAAAAAGAGTAATGGAGAGGAAGAAGAGGAAAGAAAGAGGGAGGGTGAACGGAAATATTGCTTTATTCTGAAAAAAAAATGGGTATTAATAATGGCCAATGATTGTTTCATTTAAACCTATGAGTAGGTGTGATGTGGTATTGACTAGAATGTATATTTTGTGTATT